CGATAAGTTTCTGGATTATGTAGATTCTCTAACCTTTAACCCTTCCAAAATCACCAACATCTTAACCAAGCAGGCCTTTATTTGTAATTCTCAACATGCTCATTGTTGTATACTGGGGTGGATGCAGGATTTGGCGGTAGGGGGTGCATGAGGGTGCACCTCACTGATTGGGGCTGAGGGAATAAACAATTTTTGAGAATAGGGACCTCTCAGGCGTTGATCCAGAGTTTTAGCTTGACTTACAAGAATCGCTAACCCTATCGCCGACAGTCGTGAGAGTTGTGGTTCACAGATGAGTAATATGACATCATCATGCCCATATATGCCCATATTTGGGTGTAATATGACATCATCATGCCCATATATGCCCATATTTGGGTGTAATATGACATCATCATGCCCATATATGCCCATATTTGGGTGTAATATGACATCATCATGCCCATATATGCCCATATTTGGGTGTAATATGACATCATCATGCCCATATATGCCCATATTTGGGTGTAATATGACATCATCATGCCCATATATGCCCATATTTGGGTGTAATATGACATCATCATGCCCATATATGCCCATATTTGGGTGTAATATGACATCATCATGCCCATATATGCCCATATTTGGGTGTAATATGACATCATCATGCCCATATATGCCCATATTTGGGTGTAATATGACATCATCATGCCCATATATGCCCATATTTGGGTGTAATATGACATCATCATGCCCATATATGCCCATATTTGGGTGTAATATGACATCATCATGCCCATATATGCCCATATTTGGGTGTAATATGACATCATCATGCCCATATATGCCCATATTTGGGTGTAATATGACATCATCATGCCCATATATGCCCATATTTGGGTGTAATATGACATCATCATGCCCATATATGCCCATATTTGGGTGTAATATGACATCATCATGCCCATATATGCCCATATTTGGGTGTAATATGACATCATCATGCCCATATATGCCCATATTTGGGTGTAATATGACATCATCATGCCCATATATGCCCATATTTGGGTGTAATATGACATCATCATGCCCATATATGCCCATATTTGGGTGTAATATGACATCATCATGCCCATATATGCCCATATTTGGGTGTAATATGACATCATCATGCCCATATATGCCCATATTTGGGTGTAATATGACATCATCATGCCCATATATGCCCATATTTGGGTGTAATATGACATCATCATGCCCATATATGCCCATATTTGGGTGTAATATGACATCATCATGCCCATATATGCCCATATTTGGATGTAATATGACATCATCATGCCCATATATGTGCACATCACAAAGTTGTCACATGAAATTTGATAGTGTGGACAAAGTCCTTTGACATATTGAGAATATTACATTAGGATGAAAACAGTCCCCTTCACTCCCATCTACAGTCAACAGATTTATCTTTCTGCAACTCCCGAAATAATGTTTTCCTCCCAATTCCCAACAAACCCCATGCTTAGCAAAATCACTCCTCTTTAAATGAGTCAACCCTCACATGACCTCTAACCCTTAACCCTTCCACAATCACCAACACCTTAACCAAGCAAGCCTTTATTTGTAATTCTCAACATGCTCATTGTTGTATACTGGGGTGGATGCAGGATTTGGCGGTAGGGGGTGCATGAGGGTGCACCTCACTGATTGGGGCTGAGGGAATAAAAAATGTTAGAGAATAGGGACCTCTCAGGCGTTGATCCAGAGTTTTAGCTTGGTTTACAAGAATCGCTCACCCTATCGCCGACAGTCGTGAGAGTTGTGGTTCACAGATGAATCGGGGAGCCTTCCCGATTGCGCAGGGCAGCTAGCAATGCACCCTGATTCCTCTGCGTCTGCAACGCAATCGGAAAAGTTGAACCAGGTTCAACCTTCCTGACAACTGTCAGCGACTGTAGCCGATAGGGTGAGCTATTATATGGAAACCAAGCTTTACCCTGTCTATCGCACATAATAGGGTCCCTGAGTGGGCCGGGTCATGGGAAGAGAACATCACTGGAAGACTATTTTAGACGTGGGACGTGTGTGGTTTGCGGTAGTCTTGGGGTTCTCCTAGCTTCGGAAAGTTTTGTTTTTTCTAGATGCCGAGAAATGCACTTGCGTGCATTCCGAGACTTCTATTGATGAATGAATACACACTGATTTCCCAAATTTTAGCATGGACAATTAATAATTGCGATGATGAAGATGATGATGATGATGATGTGATGATGATAAGGAGGAGGAGGAGGCATCGTAGCAGGTGAATACAGGCTCCTGTGCAAGGTTCATTAACAGGCTCTTTGATATGAGTGTCAACCGAGGCCCGTATCCTGAGTTCGTTGTAACATTTTTAATGTACACACAATCGGACAACAGTAATTATCTATAAGTTATATAATCAGTACATTCTCGACTGTCATGAAAAATCATATATCTAAAAAATTACGTTATGTGCATGCTCGGAAGCGGAAAGTTTAACCTAAAAGTTTGATATATGTTTCATGTTGTTTATTGAATGGTATTTAATGATACTATATTCTAATATGACCACAACATAAGGAAGAACGCTTTGCCACCTACAGAGTTCAGACCCATATACATTTATAATTCCTTAGGCCTAAATCATAAGGAAGTCCACTCTATATCCAAATCAAAGGAAATTATATGTTTTATGCATGCACGGATGTGGGAAATTTTTTTTGCTGAATGGTTTTCTTTGAAAATATTACCAACATAAGGAAGTCCATTCTTTAAATGTATAATAGATAGTACAGAGAATTATGAATGTTTATCAAAACCATTATACACATGTTAAATCCAAAAAAATATGTTTTCAGTGCACGCACCAACGTGGAAAGATTAACCTAATAATCTTGTTAATAATGCGGTTCTAAAATTAATCTTATGACCACAACTTTTAAGTTGTAACTTCAGAAAATATAATACATTTTTATTGTACCGCCACCAGCTGGGAAAGTAATTAAATATGCATAAATGTCTTCTGTGATTGGTTGATTGCCAACATTTCAAAGCTTAATGGTTGGATGGTCAGAAATATAATAATGCGTAACTCTCATAATAATTTCATATTTCGAAAAATTGTTTGGAGTATATGATCACGTTCCATGATAGATTACATCCACAGGGTGCCCCTAAGCCAAAATTTAAAAATTGAATAAACTGCGTTTTTCCGAATTACGACAGACTGAGTAGATTAGGCCTACTGTAAAAATTTAAGATTTTATTTTTAAATCACAGAAAATCACAAATTTATATTCAGTACATTCTCTACTGTCTTGGAAATGTGGGCCTTATTAAATTTGGTTGGTTGATTTATACACACTCTTCATAACACCCCACCTACTGGCAATATGGGCCTGGAAACTTTATATTTTACCTGCCAATTAATACAGTTTTATACATTTATTAGATTTCTTCTCAATTTCTCAGTATTTTTTTTTTTTTTTAATTGTTTCTCCACTTCCAACACTGTATGATTTGAAATTTACATACCATTCACGTCATTACTCTTCTTCAGATTTTGTGTTCATTTTCAGTCTCTCAGTGCTCGGTGGCTATTTTTGACTTTCCTTTTTAGATGTACTGTATCTAAGTTTTAAGCTCTAGGTCTACAATTAGGCTACCAACTCCATTAAAGACTTTTTTTTTAATGAATAGCATTTGTTAAAATAATGAAATAATAATTATTTATCAAAAAGTAATAATTAAAATAATATGTTTTCGCTTTGGTGTAATTTTGGAATAACAAAATATAATAAAATTATATATGCCTTTCAATAAGGTTTTAAGAATCAACGCACATGTATAGCCTCTTCCCTGTGATTGATTTTGTATTAACCATACATTGTGACACAGATAATAATAATAATAATAATAATAATAATAATAATAATAATAATAATAATAATGCAAGAACTCAACAGTGTACCATACGTTATCTCGCAGCCGATTTAATTACAGTCCCTTTTCGATTAATTTTCGATGAATGAATACACACTGAATTAATAAATTTCCCTCATTTTAGCATAGACAATTAATAATTGCGATGATAAAGATGATGATGTGATGATGATGATGATGTGATGATGATAGGAAGGAGGAGGCATTGTAGCAGGTGACGACAGGCTCCTGTGCAAGGTTAATTAACAGGCCCTTTGATATGAGTGTCAACCGAGTCCCGTATCCCTACTGGTTAAAATGTAAAAATTTTTTTTATTTTTAAATCACAGAAAATCACAAATTTATATTCAGTACATTCTCAACTGTCTTGGAGCATGTCAAATGTGGAGCTTATCAAATTTGGTTGGGTGTGTTATACACACTCTTCGTAACATCCCACCTACTGGATATATGGGCCTGGAAACTTTACATTTTACCTACCAATTAATACAGTTTTATACGCTTATTAGATAACTTCTCAATTTCTCAGTACTTTTTTTTTAAAATTCTTTTTCCACTTCCGTGTACCGTACGTTATCGCCCAGCCGATTTAATTACAGTCCCTTTTTGATTAATACTTAGACAATGTAAAAAGTTTATTTTGTGTATATATTTTGTCTTTGGTTTAGGTAGGTGGCATTTCTGACAGAAAGAGTTGGAAATTGCCAGACCACCAGGCACTGCTATCACTTTATATTGGCAAATGGTGCGTAGAGGTCTGGATACGCGCCTGTCTGGAAATTGCACTCTCGTACCTTACAACAATACAACAATTATTTTTCTAAATACAATTTAGGGGGTGCGACTGCACCCTCTGCCCCAGGTATACCTGACTGAATGTAAACCACTGGTGGTATAAAACACCCAGATTAATAGATGTTCACATATTTCTTTATTAAAAGTAAAGAATTTTATATTTAAAAGATACATATAGCATCATTTTAGTGAATTACATTATGAGAGTATTGTTATCAATTTCTTTATCCCAATCTCCATTGTTATCAACTTACCTCTCCTTCCCAACCTTGTATTGTTCCTGTCATTATATCATGCTCCATCTCTTTCCTTTTCCTGAGTTGTTTGCAAAATTTCTATAAGAGAAAAAATATTTTGGATACAAATGTATAAATATTTTATTTGTAATTTTCTGTAATTTTTTTTTTTTTTTTTCTTAAGATTTTTCCTTTCCTATTGTTATTTGTTGAAGGACCACCCTCACAAAATATATGCTCAAGACATGCAAAATATGGTCATGTGACATCACATCATGACCATATATAGACACATCACGACTATATATGGGCATACAACAGTTGATGGCGCTCTTCCTGGTTATGGTACTCAAATACAGTGCACCCTCCGTACTCGAGAACCTTTTAATTCTGAGACCCTTCTAATTCAAGACCATTTTTTCAAAGAACTAACTGTTATCAATCTTTTAACACAAAGGAAACCATTTAAGTGAAGACCAAACCCCGAAGACCAAACCCCGAACCCCCCCCCCCACAAATTTTCTAGTCCCTACGCGGTCTCGAATTGGAGGGCGAACTTTATAAATCTTTTTTAAAGATGAGATAAAAAAATAAAAATAAATAAAATAATAATGCTATTTTACTCGTAACCCAGTAACCTATTTGGAGACGTGGATATACCCCAGTTAATATCTATAAGAAAATACATAAAAATTGTTATAACTCACTGCTATATCAGTATACACAGAAACAGCAGTCGCAACATCGATCCTGTCTGATTGCCCAACCTGAAGTTACAAAGCAAAAGGAAGTTAACTTACTGTAGGGAAGAGAAAATGGAGACGACCACAAATGTCGTTCACTGCATTCAAATGATAAAGATAAAAGGCAATGAGAGGCAATCATCTGGACTAGTATTAACGTTAATTTGATGTGCTCAAAGGAAGCGGTGTGAACATGAACCAAATGGAGTAGCATAGGCCTAGAAATTGACTGAGAATGTGAGCTAACAAACATACATCCGCTTGCCTCATATGTGACTGCCTCATGTGTACTAACCATGCATGTACTGAGTTAACCTGTTCTGCATATTACTACTCAACACCCTAGTATCAAGAGTCAAATGGGAGTGTTGTATATTTTTCTTTCTTCACAATCACATGGAGTCCTAGAAATTCTGACATGCTAACATCACATAAAGCTTGTCTCATGTGTTCTGTCCCATGTGTGGTATTCTCAGGTACAGTGTTCTCATGTGTGGAAATCTCATGTGTATTGTCCCCATGTGTGTAGTCTCATGTGTGCTATATTTAATCAAATATATTGACTGACTTACTGCTGTATGCCTTTCCAATTCCCGAAGTGCATTTGTATACTGGTCCATCCATCGGAAGGGATTGCTCAAACCCGTTGTCAAATTCATCAGTGACTGTCCCTTGCTTTCCATATATTTTCCAAGCTCATCCCTGTAGTTATGGGAAATAACATAAAATTAATAACTCCAAATATAGATGTCTATCAGTCTGTCAATAAATCTTATTTGATGTCAAATGTTCAAGCAATCATAAGTTGAGGAGAGCCACACGATGGTAGATTTATTTTCTACTTTTGGGTAATCCAGCCACATAGCTTGACTATATTTATCTGTTGTCACCCTGGTTTTTATGGCATAATAAATGAAATGCAATGAATCTTGTTATTTAAAAATATTCTTACAGAGGAATACAGGTTAATGTAATAATAAATTGGAGAGGGCAGCAGACATGGATTTTCAAAGATAAGAAAATTAGGTAGAGGGCAGCAAATGTTAACAATAATTCAACTAAAGAAAAATTTATGATGTTGAAGGCTACGCTTTCTGACAGGGGTATGAGAATTTTATTTGAATGCCAGTATGAAGGGCCTAGATGCGGAGTTCTAGTGGGAGGTTGCCTGGAGTCATTCAAAAATTTACATACAGAAAAATACAAAGAAATTGGTTTTGTCCACAAATGAACAATAATGATTGAATCTGCGACTAATAGTTTCCCTGACAACGAGAGATAAACAGTTTGTTGATTGGTGATAAATTGTTGAATTTATAAAGAACATCATTAACAATATCAATACCAGTAGTAGCAGCAGAGGCTGGGGGAAGGAGGAGGGGGAGGGGAAGGCTGTAGTCTTTCTCTTGGTTCAGACCCCTTTTGGCAGATTTCTGGAGCCACCACTGCTCAATTCTAGCTTTATACAAAAGTCATCATCATCTATAGATCCCCATCTGTATTTATATTCACAACAAAATGGAAACCTGCAATGCACCTCTTACAACACTCTTGTCCATGCTAAAAAAATCATTCTGAGACAAATATCTGTGATTACCATATATGGGCAAGATGATGTCATATCATACCATATATGGGTAAAACATAAGTACTTGTCACATGCAGATTTGGAGTGTGGACAGTGTTACTAAACACTTTTCTAAAATGGCACAATTAATTATTTCCACGCCTACCTGGAATAGAAAATTCTTTTCAAAATTCAATGAAGTATTCAGCATGGAATACAGGTTTTAAGTTAAATTTTCCCAATGAAATGATGATCACTTTCGCTCATCAAATATTTAATTATTTTTTATTGTCTAGGCATATTTCCTTTTTCCTTGTATTTTAACTAAGCTCATTTCCATCCAATGCTAATGCATTGTATCTATTGTGTAGCTATCTAATTTAAAACAGTGCGAGTTTGTGTATAATATTATGTACATAATGCATTTTTGCAGATCTTGGCATAAATGTATGTATTCAATTATTATATTGTCTTATGCATGGTTTTCTATTTCTGAGGTTTCTAATTTTGAAAATGTTATATCTGATTAATTTAACTTTCTACTACCTATTAAATCTTGAATAAAACTGAAACAAGAAAGTTATTAATAATTGTTAGACTACAAAATCGTTTCTTATGATTTTACCCGCGTTGCGTAAGAACAGAGACAGCTTTCGGATGGTTGGCACAGTATGATGAGTAAATTGTCTTGTAGTCGGCCGCTGCCTTTATAAAACACTGCCCTATCCTTTGTTTTGTATCTGATCTGAAATAAAAGAAATAATACAAATTTAAATAATGAGACCATATATTTAATTATTTTATTTATTCAAACATTTATTCGTTTACTCTGTTTATTTATTTCTACAAGATATATTACCATTATAATAATCCTTAAAAAGCATATAAATTATAATATATTCCCTTAAATCATTTTATAATTGAAGTTATATTTTTTCATGTAATACACGGAGGAATTTGATGATATTAGCTTTTTTCTGACATCTTGCTGAGTATTGTGATGTTTGCTATTTGTGTACATTTGCTTGAATAAAATAATAACTTAGGTAATAATAATAATAATAATAATAAACAAAATAATAATATTGAAAGTTAATCTAATTGTACAGATAGTATAATGAGTGAAAAAATGCTATTAGGTACAACTTAAAAGTGTGATTGAATCAGCAGGCTTTTACTTTACTTTTCAATTTCAGAATAAAAGCATGATTTTTATTTAATATTGTATCTTTCATTGGTAGATTCAAGATCTATAACCTGGGGTGGGGGGGGGGAAATGGGTTGAAGTTTTCTCCTACTTTTTTGGGGTCCAAAATTTTAGCCATTTTCATCTACATACACCACACTCGATTAGATTTTTATGAGAGCTGCTGTGGGAGGAGGGGGAGGAGGAAGGGGTTGGGGCACTTCTTTTGTCAGCCTTGAATCTGCCACTCTCTTGGTGGTTAAAGATACTTGCCTCCCAAATTCCATGGTACTAGGTTCAAAACCAGCATATTTTGCCCAACAATTTACAAACACAGAAACATGTTTTTGTATTGTTGCTTAAAAATGTCTGTAAATTAGTGAGAAAGTTAATGTCTTAACCATGTGTTTTATTGGAAATAAACAAACTTATAACTAACTCATGTACAATCCATGAAATACATGAGATCAGGATTTCAAGAAAATTTAATAAATTTACTGTAACACAATTTACTTTTTTGACTGAAAAAAAGAGCAAACTATTTTATTACTTTTATATTTTTTTAGCAAGAAAAATAGAAAACTTGACAACATTGCTTTTTTATTTCATGCAGGAAACATGTATACAGTAAACATCAACTACAATTCAAATTAAAATGTTTATAGCAAAAACTGAATATGGAGAAAAATGTATGGACAATAAAAATACGCAGAAGCGGTCTGTTTATATACTCGAACTTTGTAACACAGGAAAGTCATGATTTACAAATACAGTAGGAAATGAAAAAGAGAAAGGAAAACTAAGTACAACAGGAAAAGATGGATAAGCAGGAGAAAAAATGGAGGAAAATAAAAAGATGTGAAAACAGACAGGGTTTAACCAGATAGGGAAGAAATAAAGAAGAATGAAAGAAAAAAGGATGGAAAGATTAATACAAGTAAGGAAAGAAACTCAGGAGGAAAAGGAGAGGAAGGGTATGAGAAGGAGACCATGAGGAGAGAGGGAAACTGGAATAAAATGGAAACATTGGGAGGAGGAAAAAGATGAGAAAGAAAAGCTACACTATAATATACTATTGTTACTCCATGCCACTCTACTTTTAACATTAAAACCATAATGCTGACAAAACTTATATAGATAATTAAAAAAAAATAGTTGAATCAACTAAAAAAAAGAAAGTTGCAACTTAAAAAAAAATTACATTTACTCAAAGCCGAAATTAATTTTAATGAACTTTTCCGGAGTGTCAATCAAACTTAACAAATGACCACTTAGAACGGTGCCAATAATATGCGGGTGCTCCACAAAGACACGTTTTGTCCCGCAAACACATCCCATAAATCTTTTCATAACTATTTTACTTTATTGCCTTGATGGACCTTAGCAACAACAGTATCCAAAGATGTGGGCTTAGTGCAAAAGTCCATTATATTAAGAAATGTAACAGAAGAGGAATCTGAGGAAATACTAAAAAAGAAAATCAACTTTCATCCAATACATAACAATCAATTGTATTATACATTCCTGGTATCATTTTTATTATCATTACAAGAATGCAGTGTTGTTTGTTAGTTAAAATTCTTTAATCCAGCTCACTACAGCCCTGATACTCCAGATAAAATAATTTTTTCCGTTCAAAATTAAATAAATATAAAGCATTTTAGCAATGTTATTCAGTTACAGTCCGCTGAGTGTCGAGAAGACAGCAAAAGCTACAGTAAGCAAAACTAAACTGTAAAAAGTTATCTTACACTAATAAAACATTTCATTATTCCAACTGTTTATATCCCATAAACTGTTATATAACAATGTTATAATATCTCAAGCTCAGGTCTTTGGGTACCCCTTAATTACCTTTTACCTCACATATCTGTATTTGTTTTAATAGTCAATAAAAATATGTTATATTCTCTACCTATAAAATTATATTATTTTTTTTCTGCTTTCGACTAAACAGGTATAAAAAAAGTCCCATCCTAACAATGTATTTTTCCAGTGAAAATCTTCAATAATAACATTCACTAAACAGGCTATAAACCAGTCTTATCCTAATATATTTTTTTTTTACAAGCTTTTGCCCCAATCGGTGGTGCTTCAGTTGTAGCAAAACACCTTGGGAAGCCCTATCAATTGGAGAGACAGCTCATAAAATAAAATATATTATCTTTAGTCATAAAGGTACAATCAACTCATATCTTTAATTGTATTTACTAATACAGCTACTCAACAACCTCTGACACTTCCAAAATAAATCATCAAGAAATTAATGTTTCCCATTTGTTTGAGCAGTGCATTGGCATTTTTATAGCAGGATGCGAGAACAATAAATTGAATTTATTTTAAGCTGTTTGCTTTCACAATTGGCTTACAGTAGCAATGAATATGCTCAGATATATATTTGCATTACCAATTGTTCATGCGAGCTCAATGCTTTGTTCTTTTGTAGAAATTCATCAAAAACTAGGTTATCTTCTCTTTGGTTTAAGTAAGAAGCAATAATTCATGTCTAAATGACATTTTGATATACCAGTGAACTACTAAACAACTACTGTATCTCAAGAAAATCTCTAAGGATCATAAAGGAATGGAGCCGTTGTTGTGTTGTTAAGATGCCTCGTTCTCTGTATATAATTCAGTTGTATATTCAACCTGAAACAATCATCTCTTGTATTTAAGGGTTTAAATGGCAATGTGCCTGAACATCATATTTTCAATTTGTTGAAGAAACCATTCTCAATACAAATCACTTTTGCTAATACTGTATATAAACATTTTTTTAAATTGCAAGGTGCTAACATTTTTAATGGACTAAGTGATACAATTAAATCTTCAAACAAATTTACAGAAGTTTAGGGCATCAATATTGTAGATCTTTGATTTTTGTAATTGTATACTTTTGCATTGTTTTTTACATAATGTTTTCAGTCTTTGTATTTTAAATTTAAATTTTAACTTTGTTCCAAGGGCCTCAAGGGACCACCAGTTTGGTTGGTTGGTTAAATAAATAAATTAATAAAAATAAATAAATAAAAAATAAATATAAACTATAAACGAACGAACAAATGAATGAATAAATTGATGATAAAAAAAAGCATATACCTTAGATTTTAGAAAAACACCAACTCCATTTTAAGTATCATAGAGATCAGTTTGTTGGATGAAAAGACACTAAAACTAAATAATATTTTAATAGGCCCTAGATAGCACACAGTATCCATACAGTGACACAGTTATATGTACAGTAAATGTGGCAATATGTTACATCACAGCCAACTAAATTTTAAGATAGCAGTATGTTTACATTTCAATATGCATAGAAGGACTACAGCAAAATACATTCTGAAAGCTCAGTGAGGCACAGAAAATTGAATGCATTAAAGCCAGGTTCCAGAGGAAACAATTTTGATATGTTATACAACTGATTCCTCTAAGACACAAAAATGCATATTTGACGAAAAACTCTGGAGCAGTTGATGGGATACAGATTGTTGAATATTTATAAACTAATGGAAAAGTGGACTTAGCCACATTTTTTTTTCACCTGTTCTCCACTTTCAAAAAATAAAAAATCTGTATCACGTTATTCTTGAGTTTTTCGTCAAATATGCTTTTTGTGTGTTAGAAAAATCAGTTGTACAACTATATCAAGAAATTGTTCTCCTTCAAAGACTGGCTTTAAGCTTAATCATTAGTACCAGATGTCAGGTTGTGAGAACCATTTTAATAAAATTATAGAATTGTACAACTATATATCGGTGTAGATGTAGCTTGGTGGTTAAGGTGCTTGCTGCAATTCTATGGGTACTGGGTTCAAATCTTACAGTAATCAGAATTGTTTTCTTGCTCAACAACTAAGAACAACATTACACCTTCAGCGCCGTAATGAGTTTATTGATCATCAACGTTTCATATTTTAATTGGTGAGAATAAATTTCTTTTATTTAAAAGATAAATAAATCAATGGACTATATGTGATATATATTAATGTAATTCATAACAATTTTAAAGTGAAATCTGTCACCAAAATAAATAAGCTTATTTAAAGCAAATATAACAATGTTTGCCATAGTTTTGAACTTATCTAGGTATCTATTAGCTAAAAGAATTAATTGGTTAGATGCAAATAATTTCTTCTGGTTTCAGTATCAAAAGCCTACAATTGTATTATTATCGCTTTCTTTGCTTGTTTTCGCTTGCAACTTTCTTCTAGCTTTAAAATTATTTGTCTTAGTTAAAACCCATAGTGAATATAATGCTGGTGAGTCTATTGCAGATGTGTGGGGATCAATGGGGTAAAAATTTTTTGAGAATGAACCATTCCAAAGCGCCAATCAAAATTTAAACCGACCATTGAGAATGCGCTAGTCAATACAGGGCAAGAAATACATGCATGTCCCGTAAACATTCCAGTATGCGTTTAGGAACGCACACTCAACTATGTTTCTCAATGAATGGCTGTCATTTTGTGTGACGTTAGCAACAATATCTAATGCGTGTGGCTTTGTGGAACGGTTCATTTCACAAAGTCTTCATGCTTGGACTACAAAAACTAACACAGATGTTTTTTTTTTGTTTTTTTAATACTGTGCAAGGCCCTGAAGTGCTACATGAATAAAAAAAAAGAAAATTGCAAACAATATTTATTTACGAAAGGGGTGAACACTGATAAATAAAAGAAATGTAAAAAGTAATAATAAAAAATAATAAGGACGATCTAAGATCACTTACTTTCTCCTCATCTTTCGAGAAACTATTACTCTGTAAGCAAAATTTAATTATATTTTCTGGAGTTAAAGATTTGTGGAGATAACAATATTAGACTTGGACCAAATGTAAGCAAGCTTACTATTCCATTGACTTTGAAGAAATTAATAAAAAATAATATTAAAAAAATTATATATGTTAATTAATAATTTTACCCTCAATTGAAATAATAAATGAATTTGTTGTTTTGAATATGACATTAACTATTTAAATTAATCACGAAAAATAAATATCAATTAAACTTAACATTGCTATAATTATATACTGTAAAAAAATAAATAAAAAAATAAAATAAAAAAATATAAAATAATAATTCCATTTTGGAACAATGTTCAAGGATCGAGAAATTTAAAATTACCGACCATCTACGCCCTACAATGACCTACCAGTAGATGTTCGCAAATATTACCAAATTATTGATCAAGTTCATTTTCTAAACCTTAATTTCTTTACTTTACTCTGTAATAACTGTAATTCATTGGGTTTTTTTTCAACCTCTTTTAATCACTTCTCTTCATTTTTTTTCTTGTATTTTTTTTTCTGGATCTCTTGGGAGTATAGTAAATCAATCTCATTGGAAGAGTTTACCAGAAAGAAAGATTTGTATTGTATTGTAATTTCAAATCCTAATGGGATAAACCTCTTTTATTCCCAATGGAGGGGTAACTTACATCAAATTATAATATATAAATTATAAATTATTCCATATGGTTTTAAGTGCATTGAGGATGTTTGCATTATGTGCCATATATTGTAAGCTATTTATTATATTATCACTATTATTATTAGTAGATGAAATTCTTCAAGCCATATGAAATATGGGGCTTGGCATCCCTAAACCAGCGTATTGTTACTAACTGTTAAACTAAGAAATAAGCGTAGGAATGTGGCAGTATTGTTTATTTTAGTACAGAGAAACCATGAATACTTTATTCATAACTTTGGAATTAGTATTAATTGATTCCAAATGAGATCTATCATTTTAATAAAGCTTATAATTTGGAGAATGTGAATATATTGAATTTTCTTGTTTTACTGATACTGGTTTTGGCATGGTAGGCCCCATAATAATAAAAACAAAATCAAAATAAATATATTATTCATGGTAAACTAAAGTAAATTCTAACTTTGTTTTTTAAAATAATGGTGATTCAATTGTTCACAGATGTGTTGTAAACAGTGGCGTATCTAAAAGTCTTGAAATGGGGGGAAGCGAATGTGAAGTAGGGGGAACTCGATAATCAGTTGAGGGGGCACTAATTTGCAAAATAAGTTGATTTTAAGTGATTTTTTAAAAACTACTTGACCGTGATTTGGGAGGGGCAAGAGTAATTTTTTTTTGGGGGTGCATCCCTCCCCCACTCCCATAGATATACCACTGTTGTAAAATACTTACTGAGAGTTTTCTTCGATTACTTTCCTCAGTGATTGATGGAAGGGCAGAAACCGGTCAATGTTACCTTTTAAGGTGGCATAATCAACTGGACTGAGCCTGGAAAAACATCAACAATGTGATGGTATATCAAACAATGACAATGGGGGTATCAATGGTACAACACAAATTTTTTAGTCACATGACCACATTAGGCATTCAAAATGGCCACAAAAACATTATGCAAGCTATCTAGTTGCTTTTCTAAACACCATCAAGTCAAAAACAATAGAAATTAGTCATTAACAATCATAATCCCAAATTAATAAGGAAATATTTTATTTAAAATAGTTCAGTCGACCACTAAACACAAAAACAATCGCAAAACTGACAATTATAAAAATAAAGTCAGTTTTCTCAAATATAAGGTTTGGAAACTTGAAATTTGGTGAATAAATATGTAAAAAATGGTTAGTACTCATTAGTATAATAAAATAAAATGAATCAATTCGAAACTTACTTCTCTGTAGTTTCTAACGGCTGTAAAATGTTTGTCAATAGATGTTGAATGTCGTTATAATGTTGTTTCTCGGTCTCAATTAAACTCTCTATCACCTAGAAAATAAATTTTATTTTTTAGTCAAAAGAAAGAAAACACTTCAAAAATTGGGTAAAAAAGGAAAATATTGTGGCAACTTACATGTTTCCTTTGACATCTTCTGTAAGATAGACACGGACCCATAGATTAAGAAATAATTTCACCTCTATTTGCTTTTTGTACCAGCGGAAAAAAATGATCAGAATTACGATAACGTGCCAAATCCTGGCAAAATCTGCAACCACCAAGGAAGTATTTGGCAGCGAATTTTGTATTTTGTGAATTACCAAATTCAAGGAACAAGATCATAATTCTGTAGCATCAACAATGCCTCATATTTACCGTGTAAAGCTAATATCAATCTTATGTCTTACAAAGTAGTAATGAGGCGTTGTCATCAAGGTACCAGCTCCCAGCTGTACAAGTTATGCAGACTATAAACTACAACATCTGTCCCCGTAATAGTCATTCTTAAACTAGGCAAAGCACTCAAGATGGATATTATTGTGACACTGGCATTGTGGGATATGATTATATGTTGATGCTATTTTAGGCTTCTTCTGCACACGCTCAAATCTGGTAAATTATGCATGGGTAGCATACAATGGCATGAAGAATTGAAAAGTAAGATTACTATGAGTTAGAAATCCCCTAGTGCCTTTGTATAAAGAATTGCGATGTGGCAATGATAACAATTTGGCAATTTAACTGATAAATGCTGTATATTTTTATAATTTTGAGGAAAAATGTTTTAATTCAAATAATTAGAATCAGTGGGCATCAAAAAATATTCACTTCATTCACGGTTTTAACTAAAAAAAGCCATGGCCACAAGACCATTCTTTTTTACTTTGCTTGTTAGTTAAAGTTTATTACCTTTTATCGTGTACACAAGAATTGAAAAAAAACCCCAAAAAACAAAAAAAAACATTCCTATGATTGGTTTGCAAAGAACTTTCTTTGAATTTATTCTTCTAATCTTTCTGAAAATTTTGGAAAATTGATTACGTGTATGACCAATATAATTACTGTACATTTAGACAATTCAATAAAATATTTGTATAGTTACAAATACTAATAAAAAGCTGACGTGGTGTATTTGTTAAGTTTTCAGTTCTTTTAGTTTACTTTCTGAAGATGACTGTAATATAGGAGAAACATGTTTATTAAATCTTGGGTTATTGCATCACTTCGCAGCCAAAAAGTGTCCCCTTGGTGTCCTGAAGCTTCATTTATATTTATGATTTTTAGATCTCAAAAAACATTTTTATGTTAAGATTGCAAGTTATTTTACTATTTTATCGAACTATATATGAATATAAGTACAGAAGTTTACAGAAAAGGTATCAACCTACATTATAAGCTAATGTGGCGTGTTAAGTTTTTAGTTCTTTTAGTTTACTTTCTGAAGATGACTGTAATATACTGTAGGAGAAACATGTTTATTAAATCTTGGGTTATTGCTATTAAATTTGTATTGTTTATTATCCTTTCGATCGTTTGGATCTATTATTCATGATTTGAGTTAAAACAGTTATGTTAAAATGAATGTAGAAGACTGGAAAAACTTCTCAAAAAATGCGGAAAAGCAAAATTTCTTGAACAATGATTAAATACCTGAGCATGATATTGTG